CGCCACAACGCCCGGCTATTTTTTGGTTGCAGCTGTCATTGTTGTTTGGCAGGCCGGGGCTGGATTTGAACCTGCCACCTTAGGTGTATGTGGCTGGCGCCTTAGCCCCTTGAGCCATAGGCACCAAGCCCACAATTTCTACATAACTGAATGGCTTCCCTTTTCTCCCAAATATACAAGCTACTTTATAATTTGCTTCAGATACTTATTTGATTCAGCAATAAGACCTCAAAATAATTATATAATTTATTTAATAATTATATTATTTCCAAGTCTTAGTGCTGCTTGAAATAAGTATCTTTGCTTTTGCTCTTCATCTTTTAATTTTCTGCAGTACAACCTTTTTTGTCTTTCCTTCTGATTTAAAATATAATATTTCTGGTCCTTATGAGTGTTGTAATGCTGATGAGCACTGGTTTTCTTTAATGTTGATATTGCAGTATCACAGGGCAAGAAAATCACCTTATCTTTAGCAGAAACAAGATAATACACGAATCAGAATTCCCAATCCTCATTAAAAAATCAATTTTTTCCTTCAGCATTCTCTTTGCTGGTCTTCTCTGACATGATGGGTTGTTAAGCAGACAGAATTCAAAAACACTGTTGATCTGTGCAACTATTCACAAATTCAATTTCAAACAGCAAAACAGTACACTGTTGTCAGAAGCTGATAACAGACTAGTGCACTTGACCTCCGTAAACTCTTGCCAATCAGCCTCATGTGGTAGTGGCGCCAGTCAGGTGGGGAAGTTAGAACTTAATCGTGAGACTAGCAATATCATGGCTTAGTAATGTTCTAATTGTACCGTTCAATCTGGGATGATTATTTTGTTTAAATATATTTTATTCTTTGGTATTTTAAATACATTCATTTTAAAATTAAAATGGAAAATATAAAAGAGAGGTAATGATGTGCTAATACAAACAAAAGGATTTGTTCTACTAAATTTGGATTCAGTGAAAATGCCACATTAAAGACCCAGAAGGCCACTTGTGGCCTTTAGGCTTATGGTTCCCCACCCCTAGTTTAGGCAGTTCTGAAAATTAAATCACTTTTTAGATTCTTTTATTTTTTGGAGGCAGCATTCCACACTGTTGCTCAGGATAGAGTGCCCTGGCCGCAGCCTAGCAATAGCAACCTCAAAATCCTGGACTCCAGCAATCCTCCTGCCTCAGCTTCCTGTGTAGCTGAGAATACGGGTGCCGGCCACAACACCAGGCTATTTTTTTTTCTATTTTTAGTAGAAACAGGGGTCATGCTTTTGCTCAAGCTGGTCTTGAATTCCTGACCTCAATCTCCTGCCTCAGGCTCCCAGAGTGCTAGGATTACAGGTGTGAACTACCCTGCCCAGCCCACTTGTTAGATATTTAAAGAAGTGCTTGCTTCTCTTCTCATATTACTTTGTAAATCTTCAGTTTTATGATGGAATTCTTTAATTCATTTATTCAATCAACAAATGGCTTACTTATTGAAGACATTTCTTGTGTGGCTCTCCTATGTTCAAAGTACAGTGCTGGCTAGCGGTCGAGAGTTAAGAGAAATAAATATATAGTTCTTACCCTCTAGGACGATGGTTCTCAACCTTCCTAATGCTGCGATTTTTTTCATTGTTACAAAGCCATCGTGACCCACAGGTTGAGAACCGCTGCTCTAGGAGCTTCCAAATGAAGATCTGTTAAGTTTGATATAGAAAAGAAAAATGAAATTCATCGAAACTACTATGAATGTTGCTTGTCTAATTTCGACTTGGGAGGGTTAGGGATGTTTTCTAGAAAAGGAAGCTTGTAAGTGTTGTTTTAATAATGAGAAAAGGGTAAGGAAGTTATTTTGGTCAGACTATAAAGACGCTGCTCTGTAATCCTGAGAAATCTAGATAGACACAAATTTACTGGAGAACAGCACTTCATGTTTTTTACAAAGGAAGTATTTGATGTTATTTGGTTCTTAAATTGCTCTCGGGAGTTGTGTGGAAGAGGAATTAGAAGGTAGAGCCAAGACTAGTTAGGAGGCTGTTGTGATAATCCAGACAAAAGGCAACGAAGGATTAGTTATTTCTATCACTTGCCTCTCAACTAAAATACAGGTTGGGTGAAGGCTGAGCCTTGGCTTCACGCGCTGCTATCATCTCAGCTCTCAGAACAGTGCCTGACACGTAAGAACTGTTCATAAGTGTTCGTTGAATAAACGAATAAACAAATCAGTGAAAGAATAAACAAATGAGACGAGGAAAATGCAGAGAAGAGGTCAGAAAGAGTCACTTGCTTCAAAGCATTTCTTCCTTTTCTACTGACACACGTCATAGGTGGCTTCTTTTTTCTTTTTCTTTTTTTCTTTTTTTTTTTTTTTGCAGTTTTTGGCCAGGGGCTGGGTTTGAACCTACCACCTCCCGTATATGGGGCTGGAGCCCCACTCCTTGAGCCATAGGCACCTCCTGGAGGCTTCTTTTTTCCAAATGGCAGGAGAGGAAGGGCACTGAACACACACGCATGCATATTTGGGTGCAGACCCTGTGTTTTTTCACCACATCCTCTAAAACCAAGTGCTTTTGACTCAGCTTGTTCTGTGGTTGAATGTGATCCCTCCAAAATTTGGACCTAAGGTGTTGGACCTTAATGGCTGATGTGATAATATTAAGAGGTGGGGACTTTAAGAGGTGATTAGACCACGAATGAGATGAAGGCCCTTATAAAGGAGGCTTCAGGCAGCACTCAGCCCGCTTGCACAGGTCCTCCCCTTCAGAGGATGCAGCAAGAAGGTGCTGACCTGGAAGCAGAGTAGCCCTCGCTGGACAAAGAACATGTCTGTCTCTACCTTGGTCTTGGACTTCCCAGCCTCCAGAACTGTGAGAAAACACATTTCTCTTTTTTATAAGTTATCCACTTTCGGGCGTTTCATTATAGCAGTATGAACTAAGACAGCTGGCAAGTAATGGTTAAATCAGTATGGGAAACAATGGGGCACGTAATTGTAAACAAGTTTATTCACCACGAGACTTCTCAGAACTCGTCCTATATACATGGTGCCAGAAAAACTGTACAGATTTTAAGAAAGGAAAAGAGTGAACTGAATTTGTAATACTCAAGTCATGAGGTGTTCAGTGTGACCTGTATTCGTCTTTTGCTATCAGTGTATATTGAGTATTATGATTTTAAGTCTTTTCCTTTCTTAAAATGTGTCTATTTTTTTTACCCCGTCCGTACTTTCCTCTGCAGTGAATATTTTAAAGGCAAAAGTAGCAAGCAATGTGCCCAAAGGTATTTGACTGTGAACCCTCCCCCCTCCACACACACACACACACACACACACACACACACAGATGCCTTCACGGTGCACTTGTAGGAGCAGCGTTTAGTGAAACATTTGAGAAAACACGAGCCTAAGCATACACTGAAATTTCAGCAAGACGAGCATAGTTCTGCATTTCATTCAGTTCAGCAGAGAATGAAAACTTTCCTTCATTTAGGAGCTGTGTAGATGAAATTTCCAACACCTGTCATATGGAGAGAGCAGTGTTTCATGCTCTGACTTTCCTTTACCAAAGTCGTTACACCTGAGTGAAAGCCTGAGTGCAAATACAATTGAAGGGACAATATATTCATCAGGGAAAATTAGCTGCTCAGTGAGTACTGAATGCATCCTGGGGAGCGATGGTGATTAGGAAGCTGTGAAAACACCTGCCAAAATTGTCTTTCTAAAAAATCCTCACATTGCCACCTTCCTTGGAAAGCAGAGATTACTTCTCTAAGCACAGACCTGTTACCATGTTGACCATTTCTTGGAATACCTTGTCCACGTGGCAGGAACAGTGGCTCAAAGCCCTTATTCACCTCGTGCTCTCTGCAAATCCTGAGCTCCTACATCCAAGAGCAAGGTGATGGGAGAGGCAGGGCCGGGCAGGGCCCAGCTTCTGCTTTAGGGTCTTTGGCCAACTTGGTGACAGGATTGAGGTTTCTTCTTTGAGAGCCCAGTCTACCCATATAATCCTACCTATTTGGGTTTTGGGAATTTTGAAATTCTTCTTGAGCGTTAGCTCCATTGTCTAATTTGAATCAGTTGCATCTCTTCCCGAAAGGCTTAGCCCTTTCACTTGCACACTGTCACCTTTAAATGCTAAATTTAGCTGGACTCCATGCTACGTACCTGTACTCCAAGGTACTCAGGATGCTGAGACAGGAATGTGGCTGGAGTCCAGGAATTTGAAGCTCTAGTTCACTGTAATCATGCCTGTGAACAACCACTGCTCTTCAGCCTAGGCAATGTAGCAAGACTTCGTTTCTTTAAAAAAAAAAAAAACCAAAAAACCTCAACCCCCCAAATTTAACTGATCTTTTCCCAGACATTATTTTTGCTGTTTCTCTCATTTCCACAATTTATTGATTATCCTTTATTGTTTTATGTTTAAAATACAAATATTTACTAAAAATACCCCCACCTTTGGTCATCATCTGTTATAAGCTGTCCTCATCTAACAATTGTCTCTATCTTCCGATTGTTACTCCATTTGGGGAGTACTCTAATTCATATTTCCAATTTTAACTAGAGAAAAACCCTTAATGTATGAAGGCCTACATCCTGCAAATGAGGCGTGCGTGAGAAATTTTAGTATATAAGACATGTATTAAGTTAATTATAGATCAAACAGCTTAGTGAGGCAATTAACAGCCCAACCGTCACAGCAGCTGGCCTGGCTATGAAGAGCTTGTTAGCTGTGTTTCTGGACAAATTACCAATCTTCCTTTACCTCATCTTCCCATCTGTAAGCTAAGACAAATAGTTCTACCTATCTCATTTGGCCATTAATAAGGATTAATTGAATTAACACATCCAAAAAGCTAATAACAACACCCATAACATAGTAAGTACCATATAATCGTTATTTCTGTTAAAATAATAAAAACATCTTAGAATAAAGCATGGAATATTTTTGAAGTATTTACTTTTTCCTTTTTTAAGGTCCAGATTACATAAAGGACCATTTACCGAAAATTCATCAGCATACTTCCTGTATAGGAGAAAATCGTCCAGTGTTAGAAAAAACCGGAGATCTCCAATATCTCTGGAGGCCTGCTCCACATAGAAGCATGCCCGCCCAATATAAACATGAGTATGTGGGCGAAATCGGCTGGGGAGTGCAAAAGTATAATTTCATCAACAAATCAAGACTCAGGAGCGGCTTTCATATCAAGGTATTGCTCTTCAGTTTATGTTCTGCTTAGTATACTGTTTTCTGACTTAAGTCCGTAATGAGTTTTCTTCCAAGGGAAATGTCAGGTGCTTGATCTCTTTGAGAAGTAATGGGGTTTGAGTGAATAAATGGACTTGCTCCCACAACTCCCCTGGAGAGGAGTATGAAGAAAATGAAGTCACAGACAATCCAAAAGCATTTGTGTTGGTTTTGGGGCTCAGTCACATCACACTGCTGAGATACTCACACCTCCCCATCCTAGCCCTGCTTTAGGGTGGGTGGTGTCAAGGGAGAAGCTGGCGCTGGATGTAATCTGTGGAGCCAACACGGGTGTCTGGGATCCTTAACACCCACTGTGTTGATAAGGCCTTCATATTGCGGAATTCAGGGTATGTTGTCAGAGCATTCTTAGAAAACTTGTCTGATTTCCTTTCAGTGATGTGGACGCAGGCACTAGCTCAGCAGTCTCCCCTGAAACAAATAAACAAAAAAACAACACATGTGGCTTGGTGCCTATGGCTCAAGTGGCTAAGGCGCCAGCCAGATACACCAGAGCTGGCGGGTTTGAATCCAGCCTAGGCCTGCCAAACAACAACTACAAACAAAAAAATTGCCGGGTGTTGTGGCAGGCACCTGTAGTCCCAGCTACTTGGAGGTAGAGGCAAGAGAATCACTTGAGCCCAGGAGTTGGAGGTTGCTGTGAGCTATGATGCCACATACTGTACCCAGGGTGACAGCTTGAGGCTCTGTCTCAAACAAAAAAACAACACATGTGCTTCCTGTCATAACGCCACTTTCCCTGGGCATAGAGAGAGTCCTTGCCCTTCCTGTACTGTGTCACTTTGTGGGGCTGGGGCTTGCCACACATCTTACAGAAAGTCTGGCGGGTTGTAGGAACATTCACCATCTTTGCGTGAGCGCTATCAGCCAGCACATGTGTTTTTTGAAGTAAAATCTAAGAATTCAGATCCTCCCCACTCCTGTAGGCCTTTACATCACCTGCAAATGTGTCAGTTACGCAATAACTAGATTTCCTCAAATTCTTAAGACTGTATAGGACAGTCTCATCAGGGAAAGATTTTTTTTTTAATAGTTTTTTTGTTTGTTTGTTTTGCACAAACTACAGCAGTTCAGAAAGCTCAGTCTTTGGGTTAGATGCTGATATAGGTCTAGTGCTGTGACCTTGGGCAAAGTGAGTTCACCTGTCTGCAATTTCGCTCTCCTCTCCATGTGGCAGTGTTTACAGGCCCTCTTCACAGCATCTCCTAAATTAAACAGTGAATGAGTTAATATTTGTGAAGTGCTAGGAGCAGTGCCTGGCATGTGTCAAGCCCCGTATGTGTTTAATATGGTTATGTTGTGAGGACTGAATATGGGAACCCAAGGAACATGCTAAGTGTGCTTCTGGCACACGGTTGACATCAGATTTCAGCTATTTGTATTGGCTGTTGTCATTGTTGTATTTAATGGTACTCAGTATCAGTTAAACCAGTGGTTTTCAACCTTCCTAATGTGATGCATTTTCATTGTTACAAAGGGGTCACGACCCACAGGTTGAGAATCACTGAATTAAACAGAAGGATTACTCGGGTTCTACTTAGCAATAATGATGAAAATCAGAAATTCAATTAAATATTAAACTGGCCTCTGGGATAGGGTGACCAGATTTTAACATTGGTAAGGCGGGACAACATGGTTGGGGGGTGGGGTGGGGGCGGGGCAGGGGACAAGGCAGGGCAGGGCCTGGCAACCATGCAAACTTTGATAAGCAGTTCTCCATAATCACTTCTCAGCAATTATTTGTTATTATTACAGTTTAACATTATAAAATTTTTTTTTTTTTTTGAGACAGAGCCTCAAGCTGTCCCCCTGGGCAGAGTGCTGTGGCATCACAGCTCACAGCAACCTCCAACTCCTGGGCTCAAGCGAGTCTCCTGCCTCCGCCTCCCAAGTAGCTGGGACCACAGGCGCCCGCCACAACGCCCGGCTATTTTTTGGTTGCAGCTGTCATTGTTGTTTGGCGGGTCCAGGCTGGGGATTCGAACCCGCCACCTTAGGTGTACGTGGCTGGCGCCTTAGCCGGTTGAGCTATAGGCGCCGAGCCTAACATTATAAAATTAACAAAAATAATATAAAACGAATATTCTGGCGAAATAGCCACATGGCAGCCGAAAACCGTATATTTCCTTCTTGTTCTCCCGGCAGTTCGTGCATTCGTGCATTCTTTCCAAAAATCGGGACTTTTTAAAAATGCCTTGGGACGTGGGACAAATTGTTGAAAAGTGGGACGTCTGGTCACCCTACTCTGGGAAGAAGAGTATAACCCAAAGGAAAGCATCTGGTTTGAATGGCGTCCAGAGCTCTTGTGCCTTGTTGACTCTCTCTGGGCAATGCCTGCTTTGTGCACAGCCCTCAATCTATTGGGCCGTATTCAGTGTCTGGCTTCTCTTCCTCCTTTGTTGTTAGCTTAAGAACCCGTTTGTCTGCTCCAATGACGTGCGATCAGGCATTCCTTGGTCTTTCAAGCAAGCTGGGTATTCAAAAAAGATGACAGCCACGAGCCAGCCTGTCAGCAAGGTGTTTATTCCATGTTATTAGCTGGCAGTTCAGAGAGCGCCTTTCATCACTGCCCTGCTGGTAACAGCATCCTCTGGCGGTCTGTGGGATTGAGTGTTTCTTCCCCAGCTTATGGCACACTGAAACACAGGCCTTATTTGGAATATACTGTGAGGGATGTTGCTTATCATCTGTGTACTTTCTTGGTCTGGGCATTTTAACAATAATTGTTTTCAAGGATCTACCTGGTTCTTATAAAATTCCTCAGATTTAGAGAAAAGACTCGCTGAGGATGACCTTACATATTAGCCATTGAACCACCTACGATTTACCTAGTGGTTAAGACCTAAGTTTTGTCACTGGGATTGCTTCTGCATCTAAAACATACCTCTTTCTCTGCAGCAGGGTAGGCCACAGTGACCTTTTTTT